AGAAACTTCAATGCTTTCCTTGACTTAAAGGTGTAACTGGATGTCAATCACTTATTAACAGGAGGAGGTTATAACACATATTTAATTTCCTGAAATTCTGCTTTTGAAATAGAAAGATGGCTCATTCATGCCTTATGCTCTTACTATGTGGCTCAAAATTGTTTGCCTATTGTATACAAGTAAGTCCTTTTAGTTAAGGTGATAATATTCTCGCATATAACGGATGATTTTTTAAGAGGCTTCTTTTTAAAAGTTGGATAAAACGAAAATGCATTATGTATACGAAATCTTTATTGGAATCGATGAACTGGTTCTTGACATTTACTTTTTAAAGATTATTTCATGCAAATGTTGACCACGGCTACGTTTCAAACAGTCCATACGGAAGGTACAATTTTTCACTACTTTTTTCAGCATTTCGGCCTGAATTCCACCAATAACACGTGGTATGTTGTCTTGTAAGGCCCCGATAGTATTGGGCTTGTCCACAAAAAATAGTCCAGAGGCGTCAAGTCGCATGCCAATTTACAGGGCCAAAACGAGAGATAAATTGCTCACCAAATTAATTCCTTAAGATGTCCATTGTTTCACGTCCTGTGTGGCATGTGGCGCCGTCTTGTTGAAACCACATGTAAATAAAGTTCATATCATCCAATTTGGGCAATAAAAAGCTACGGATCATGGATCGATATCGTTCGCCGTTGACGGTAACGTTTCGTCCGAAGTCGTCTGTAAAGAAAAACGGCCCGATAATTCCACCAGTCCATAAGCCATACCAAACTGTTGTTTCTTCTGGATGCATGAGCAATTCTTGTATAGCCTGTGGCTGCTCATCTCACCATCGCTAAACACAATTCTTCGATATAACAGCGGATCTTCTTCAAGCTGTTGCAAGGTCCATTCACTAAAAATTCGACGTTGTGGTAGGTCATTTGGCTTCAATTGTTGGACAAGTTGACTTTTGTCAGCCTTCAAGCCCAAATCGACACGTAAGAATTTTCGAGGTGTTGGAGTAACACATTCCCGACTGTTAAGATCTGCGGCGAATGGATATTTAACGATCTTCATTAATACTGGTTGCTACGGATGCAATATTCTCTTCGGTACACAAGCATCCAAGTCGATGGTTTAATGTCCAATAAAGTTAATTTGGTAACAACACCTTTAATTGTGGTTTCACTAGGTCGATTATGACGACCATAAAATGCACCAATTTGCAATTGTTGTTCGTTTGTAAGTCTTTCCATAATAAAATGACATAGTATACTGAACAATTTTGACTTTAACAGATTACGCCTGGACGCCATTACATATCGGTGCTACCAACTGAAGAAAAGGTCATAAAAATCACCCATTATAATTAATCCCCAATAGGAAGGTTTATCATGGAGGATGCGAAGCCCGATACGAATAATAACTAAGACGGCGAAAGTTTAAGTATTGAGTTGTAATTTATGATAGCTAGTCAGTTTTTTTAACTTTTCAAATCCTGTAAATATTTTGTGCCAAGGCTTTTAGGACTATAACATATCTTTGCACCAATTTGATCCGGACTCGTTCAGCCATCTTTGCGTGATTGAGTAGCAAACTTGCCCATTTTCTCATTTATGACGAAGGGATGTTACGAGTATAGCTAATAGTGCACTTTAATAATTAGAGAGTGGTTACTAACGATCGCTCCTAATCGATTGAAGTAAAAATCGTCTTGGATGTAATTCGTTAGGTAGTCGATGAAGACAGCATTTGCTTGGGTCGATTACAGGTCTGCGTCTCGGTGGGTGCGTAATTGGTAGAAGAGCTGAAGATGGTATCGCTTGTTGGTACCCGCGGACTCTGAAGGATTAAGCTAATCTAATAATCGGGCGCCCCGCGCTGTGATGAATTGTGAACCAGGCGCGCATACGGCAATGGCGGCAACATGTTGCCGCATACTCGTCGGTGATTATTTATTAAATTCAATTACATTAAGAAAAATGCCGAGCTGCATTTGTAGTGGACGCATCAGGGGTGCCCGTGCGGAAAAATCGATTGTTATTAGTGAGCATGGTGTTCGAACATCGACATGTTTAGCGACGGACATTTTTCATAAATATGTGAAGAGGTTTGTGCTTATATAAAGGGAATTCGGGCTCGTGTTCTCTCTCAAACGACATCCTAAAGTTTTGTCTCTCCTGTCTACACAGGTTGTCCTAAAAGTTGTAATTTTCCTTTACACGGAGAATAGATCTTGGAAAAGTAAGTAGTTTTTTTTGCTCGTAACATGTCTTAAGATTATCGATATATTAAGCTCCGCAAAATAAATCCAACCTAAAAAAACCTAATCCGGTTCTGCACTTCGATCAGATCAAACGTGAACACGTACGATGCGAATCAATACGCTAATAAGGCGCTGGCCGCATTTCCGAACAAAATCCTCACACGTCGGTTCTGAAACAAACATGGCCCAATCTTAGAGCAATATCGGAGTTGTCTATATTATTGTAATTCACGGTGAGTGTGTTTGAAATTATAACTAATATGTCCTGTAAATAAGGTGAAGGAAAAAACTAATACATTCGTCTTTATCTTTATGAGAAGCAAAAATATCTATTCTGAGTATATTAATATATTGATCTAGTACAATATTTTTATGATTATGCTTAGGAATCTCTTGGAAAAAAATAAAATAATTTGGTGGTTTTGTTTCAAAACAGGTGAAATTTGATGAATGAAAATTAGAGAACTGGCGAAAATAGAAGTATTTAATTGAATTGTACAAGCTTAAATATGAAGTGCTTGTTCCTCGTCGAGGCAATCGCATTCTGCCTCTTCATCGTCGATTACAGCGCCATCGACAGTGAGAGCGAGAAGTTTCTTACAAATCGTTTCTCGGTTCCTATTCTGAAGTAAAGGGTTTTTGCAAGAGATGCTTTAGGCTTTTTTTTTCTTTTTGTCAGGCAAAGAGTTCCTTATTTGAACCACGTTAAGCGATATGTACTGGTCGGATTTTTCTTTTTTCAACAATTTCTCTCTAGATCCGTTGGTATTAAGATTTTTTCATTTTCGTTCAATTTTTTAGTTTTTCTAATAAATATCCTTTTAATTCCTGAAATAGCATGTATTTTTTTAAATATCCTGTCAAGGTTTTTAATATCAATTATTTTTCAGTCCAACTTTGCTGTAAATTTTAATATAGAATTATAAATTATCACTGGGTTCTTCTTAAGTAATGATTCAACTCTACCAAAACAACGATCGGCTGCCATGAAGCTGTGCCCACGAACTGGGAAAGTAACGGAAATTTCACATACATTAATAGGGGCCTTATAATCTTGCTGTCACACCCTTTTTGCGGCATCTTGTCCCTCTTTTCCCTCTTCGATGCGTATAAGTTCTTGATCCATGATTTTCGTTGCTTTCCGTACTAAATTCTAATACCTAACCTCAATAATTAGCCGATAATAGGCAGTTTTGATGAAAAGCACAACATTGGATGCAATTTAAAGACAAAAAATAGGTGGTTTTGAACACACTGAACATACCATTCGATAGAGCTCCTCAAACTAAGACGAAATCAATGAAAAAGTCAAAATATGCAAATAAAGGATATAGGCGGTTTTGAACGCAAGCTCCTCAAATATGAAAAAGAAGTATTATGTACGAAAGAAGATAGGAAAACGCAAATAGTTGTTTTTTTTATTTTGATCAATCCTAAGCAATATTGACAGTTTAAAAAGTTGAAGTAAGCGACTCATTAGATGAGAGAAGTTGAAGTTGTTAAATCATAAAATATTGTCCTACCTACCCCACCTGAAACATTCACAGAAACAAACATGAAAAATCAACAACACATCGACAGTCAGAAACAAATAAATGTTGTTAAGAGATACACACACCACTCACTCGACATTTTCCAATTGAGCAGGATCCCGATTCCGACGACAAAACAAATGACCGTAATTCTTATGGCAAGCACGGCACACCAGCATCAGCTGTAATTAGCAATTCAAATTCGAGGCGAGAAACAGCGTTAGGAAGATTGAAAACCTGCGGATAGCAAACTCAAATTCAGCCAAGGCCCATTTGCATACACTCAATATACAACAGGGAAGCAGGTAGGTGGAGAAAAATCTCAGGCTTGCACACGCCCACGCGACGTGTCTTCTTCTTCTATGTTTGCATTAACAGGTTTGTCAGAAGGGTATATGTACAAACATATAGAAAGAAGTCAAGACAAAATTTTGCCAGGGATCAATCTCTTCTCTAGCTATCTATACTAATCTTCACTGTACTGGTTTATGGCAAAACGCTTAAACAAATATCAGTTAATTATCTATTGACATGCAGAACACTCCATATCGTCAAATATCATACACCACAACAAATCCATAGACAGAGTCATATTAAGAGGGGAGGGTGCTTAGTGAATAAAAGTCTGTTTGAGGCTTAGGACAAAGCCTGCCACTTGCTCTTCAGCTGTTTACCTCAATAGACGTTAAAACGCGATAAAGTATCGGGATAAATGGATTACTCCTATGTGAACATACATCCATAGTTCTGACGTGACTAATTCATTTTGTGCAATGTGCTGCACATGAAAGCTGGAAACCTTTATTGAGACAAACGGCTTGCATTTTCTGCAAAACGTGTAAAATGTAAAACATATTTCGCAGTTCTACCACGTTTTCAACGATATCCCGTTTGTTTTATCACATGCAGATAACTAATTTTCGATTTTTCAGAAGCAGTTTCAAGTATAATGACAATTAATGTCAATAAAACGCTAAACGGTCTCCGAGAACCCGAAAATCCACCCAAAGTCGACGTACCGGTTGCAATTTTCAGCAATACTAATGTTGCATATGCATTGGTCATGGATCTGAAATGCGAGAAGTAGTACTTCGATATCTAATGGGAGTCATACTTGTTTGGCTTGTGAGGAAATAATATAAGGCGCAACAGTTTAGCTTTGAGATGTCGAAGAAAAACCTGAAAGTAAGAAAATGACGTCAAGTAGAAAGAAACATTCCTACGCAATTCTGGACAAACTGTCTGTATAGATGTTTTTCAAAAAAGTATTCTAAAAATGATGTTTAAAAAACCGAAACTTAATCCCACTGACAAATTATACGCAGATGTTCGAATGTATGATATAAGACAGCTTTATTTCTTACACAGTATCACTCACTACCATAAATTTGTAAACTCCGACCAAAAAATTAAACAATCATTATACAAGGTACAAAATTCGTGGCATAGTAGTTCCTCAGCCGCATAAATCTATAATGCAGCGGTCATATCTCTATTTCGCGCCAAAATTTTATGAAATTATACCTAAAGACTGTTTCAAAAGAAATTTAAAAAAGTGGCTACATTCTATATCTAGGACTGAAATTCATAGACTGATAAATACGAACATCAAGTAAATACATAATCTACTGTAGCTAATTTTTGTCCTTTTTGTCATTTGCATTCTACAGTTGCAACTTAAAATTGTTGGTCCATGTACAGGCGATGCCTTCTATTGGGCCTGTTTTGATTTTATATTTATTTACTCATGTTGTTTGTTATCTTTGTACATTGAGTAAATAAATATTATATTATTATTATTATACATATTATATGGACCATGTGTAGTATCTGAGTAAACTTTTGTACGTTCTGGTATAATAAAGATACAGGTGTACAAATCCTTATACCCTGACATAAGGCCTTAGAATAGAACCGGGAATTTTTTTCAAACAATCGAAGACAACTTCCGTAGCCCTGGTATCCTTTGCTTGAGGAAAAGGTACTAGGAATAGATGAGATTGTTCTTTCCACAAAACATATTCGCAGGGGAGTGGTGAACGTCTATTCGTTATTTAATACTTGAATAACTACAGCCCTAAAGTTGCCACTGTATCTGTTTATATATATTTAATAAACTACATCGCCGTGCCGACAGCGATTATTGCGTCGCCTGTTCTCAGCTGTTGAGGAAACAAATTCATCACGCGGATAGCATTTTGTGCGTATAAAAATATTTCTCTAGTCTTAAGGGCAAACTAAAATACAGTGAAATATATGTGTGAAATATGCCCAAATAGACATGTAGAGAAAAAAATACACACTTCCTCACCCCCTACAACTCCTTAATACCCAGTTATCATGCCTCAAAAAATTTTCAAAATGAACAGGGGTCCCTGAAACGTCAAGAAACAAAGTCTGAGCTTCGATCGCCTGTAGCTCCACCGCCACTTTACGAACTTTCAAAAGACAAATCGATCTGTAAAAAATTCCTGAATTCTAATAAACATGGGTAGGTGTTTACCTTTTTTGCCAGTCAGTATATTTAATTATCTGTGAACTGTTGATACACATGAAACACACATGACAACAGCGCGTCGGTCTTTCATCACTCTTATCGAACCGGCAATCGATCGCAAATGGTAACAGAGGTTAGTTATCGTTTTGCATAGATAAATTACCTTATCGTTTTGTCGAGCAGAGCATCGGGCGTGTTGTTTTGTTTTTGTTCGCGTACGTCGTCGTGTTTATTTACAATTTTCTCGAATCAAGAGTTCGTTGACAAGTTGTTAGTTTACGGTGAAGCTCGTCAGAATTCAAATCTTGCAGTTCAGATCTCGCCAACGGGTACACCCGGACAGAAGGACATTTGTGCAAGTGTACCAAAGACTTCGAGATACAGGAAGTGTTCAGCTCACTAATATTCGCACTCGTGAAAGACAGGTTACTGTAGAGTAGGAGGAACAAATTTTAAATATCGTGGAAATCAATGCAGGTATCAGCACTCGGGAATTAGGCCGCCGCGTAGGGCTATCGCATACCATAGTCCATAGAATCCTACGGGAAAATTTGCTTTATCCCTACCACGTACAACGAGTGCAGGCCTTGTTACCAGAAGACTATCCTCGCAGACTAACATTCTATCAGTAGTTTTGCACAAAAACATTGCAAATCCGGATTTTTTTAAAAAACATTCTAGCGACGGACGAATGTACTTTTACGCGAGACGGGATATTAAGTTTCCATAATACTCACACGTAGGCCCAAGAGAATCCTCATACTATTCGTGAAGGTCATTTCCAGCAACGTTTTAAAATAAATATTTGGGTGGGTATTATTGACTATCAGGTAATTGGCCCTTTCGAGTTACCCCTAAAGTTGTCAGGAGAAGGATACCTTAGCTTTCTAGCCAATAACCTACGATAACTTTTGGAACAGACCTTAGACAACATGCCATTACAACGGAGACAGAATTTGTGGTTTCTTCATGACGGAGCACCACCACACATTTTTAGAGACGTCGTTCAGTATTTGAATGAACATTATCCAAATCGCTGGATCGGTCGAAATGCTCCTGATCCTCGAAAATGGCCAGCAAGATCTCATGACCTCAATCCGATGGATTTCTGGTATTGGGGAGACCTTAAAGAGATGGTTTATGGGGTTTGTCCAATAACAACTGAAGCACAGTTTCACGAAAAAAATTTTAATGCGGCTGAAATAATAAATGGACAACTTCGAGGACCTAGAGTAAGAAGAATCTGGGTTCGTCGTAATGAAGCTTGTGTGGAAAGTGGAGGACGACATTTTGAACACCTTCTTTAAATACAAAAAAAGTGTTGTGTGGGTTTTAAAAAGAAAAACAATGTATGTATCAAAATTGTGTTCCCTATTTATAAGTGGTTTTTTTTAATTCGTTCAATAAACTTTCACACACCAGTTGAAGCGCTAAGACAGTTAGTGGTCCGTTGTTTTTAATTGTTTGCATTTTACGAGTACATTATCAAATAATGAAATAATAACTAAGAGCTAAAAATAACAACCTCCATCTTTATTTACACTGCGTTCCGTCGTAATTTGCGTCTGGCATTGCGGCGTTGTCAGATTTAATTTCACTTCAAAGTAGCTTTTTCTAAAAAAAATGCCGTTTTGACCCCCATGTTATATGAAACTTTTTGATTGTTTTAACCCCCTCTATCACCCATTTAAATAATGACTATCATAACGTTCACACCCTGTATAACAAGTAATGAAAAATTAGCTAGGGTATGAGAAGGGGAACGCATGAAGATATAAAAGTAGTTTATCTAATATAGAACTGCTACAACCAATACATTTTGAAGCGTTCTATTCTGTCATTAAATATTTGTACGCAGTGAGATAACCTTTTCTTGAACCACATACCAAATGTCATAACGAGCTATTACATCAAATTGGCATAGTGTCGATCCAGGAATGTTAAATGACTTTAATGCTTTTTGACAAACCCAGTATCGAAACAATAGCAGTAATTTCGCTTTGAGAACGGAGAAAAGACGAAAGACTGCCGTGTAGTCATCGCTATGGAAAACATAAATTAGAATGTGCAGACTAACTATAATTAATTCCATAATTTTCTGCATTATTCTATTATTTAGCGACCCACGTGGTGCTTTCATTATTTATCGCTGCTCTGCACAGATAATAAGTATATGGGTAAGTGGAGAACGGTTTTTGTTACAGGAAATTATATGGTCGACGGTCGAAGTATGCGACAGACGGGCTCAGGCGCGCTCAACACTCCGTACAAGATTTAAAAGTGAATTTGCATACAAATGCACTGATTATTGCAGAATATCGAGAGGAAGTTAATGATAGTTTTGATGCATTACCGATCGTACGGTGTTGAGATTTGTGCAACGGTAATTTAGTATATGACAATGAGAGGTGAAATATATGGAATTAAATCACACATAGCAGTAATAAAACAGGAATTGAAGTGGAGGTACTGACAAAATGTAAAAGAAATCAACACCAATCTTAGTGATAATACAGCATCAGTTAGCTTTCGTGTCCTGAGGATCTTTGATGCAAGCTCAGCGTTCAACTCAAATCAGAGAGACGTTTCATGTTCAAGTAAATTGAATCTCACAAGGCTATGAGGGTGTTCGTTAAGATGTGCTTGTATCCTAGAACATGATTCCTCAGATAATTTTATGGAGAACAGCTCATCTTATAGGGCTAGGCAACGCGCCTGAGAGGAAAAGTAGTTTCAATTAATTGATCCAAGGTATAGGTCGTCTAAGTCTAATGGGGTATCGGCTCTACTCAAATATCTGGTTGAAGTGGCACGTTTCGGTTAATTTAGCTGAATTTTTTATATATTATGTGTTCCGTTGTCCTGAACAAATAAATGCCTTGATGGTCACGGGGCCCAACACTCAATGGATCCTAAGATACAGGCCATCCAAGTCTGCATAATGGGGTGTCAGTTTTACTCAGATCTCTGTTCCATCTAGGATAGCGGTTTCGGTTAATCTGACTCAATTTGTGAAATCTTTCGTATAGTTGTAGTCACCGTTCTTGGCGGGTCAAAGTAAGACTGCTAGCATCCCTTTATATATCTCCATCTCCCTCACACATACACATGCAACCTACCCCTGTGTGTGAACGTTTGTCCGGTAATCTCAAAGACATACGTTTTTTAGTTGTCTCCGTCTCGAAAACTTTGTCGGTACGTTTGAATGCCTTTCAATCATATTTGTCAGAGTGACAACTTACTTGACGTCGGTATGCAATTTGAGTTGTCCTGTTGTTAATCTTCAATATAAAATTGTACAATGCTCGTAAATACGATCAATGGAGAAGGCCAACAGCTCATGCTAAATTTATTAGAGTACACATATTTCCAGGAAGAGAATGAAAACAGCGGTACCCTGTTACCCACTTCATGCGTACTGTAGAGAGTAGCACATGCGCTTAAAATTAGTCTTCGCAGGGTTCAGCGAATAAAATCAGAAAATAAGGAAAAGGAGGGTCTGCCCATGATGTAAGTGATGCCGTCAAAACAGAAATTAGGAAAACTTTCTACGATATGAGAAGTAAATGACAACATATCAAGACCTTTGCGCTCAATCAGGAGATTAAAAAATGTACATATACAATACATCTGGTTTAAGTTTAAGGCGTCTATTGAAAGCTTGCGGTTTTTCCAACAAGATAGAAAATAACCGCCGACTCTTGTATGAAAAATCATACATTGTTTCCAAACGTATGTATTTTATGAGACATCATATGAATAATCTGAATAGTACAAACCCTCTCCGATGCGGTTTCTTAGATAAAACATGGATATTTGCCAAAGGTTCGTTTAGACGAGTTTTGCAAGATGAAAATCTTTGAAAACCGGCCATTAGGATACCGGAAAGTGGTATGCTGCCACCAAAAACGGTTTTTTGAGAGATACTGCAT